GTATTTATCACACGTTAACCGGACGCAGCGTCCTGCTAATGATTTTACGTTGAGGTTAAGCCGGAGCCCGCAATCTGGCTGGAAGGCATGAGCTTTTCTGCCTCCTTTTTGAAGTGCGGCTGCCCCAATTTCTGGGCTCCCCGGACTAAACGCATAATTCTCGAAATGTATAACATAAATTTCTTGTCTTTGAACGTTGTCCTGCTGCGCTGCTGGGAAAACTGGAGCTGCGCTTTCACTTTTCGCGCTTAAATTAATCCCAGGACGGTTCCCTTCGCCTGCCGTTGCTGTTGTTGCGGCTTCGGTTGCTGTTTCTGCTGTTTTCCAGGCTCCTCCAAATTATCGTTCCCATGTTGTACGACGCTCTGATCTGCTTTGCTCGGGACCTCGGTGAGTGATTTCAGCAGTTGCGTCCGAGCTGGAGAAAACAGAATAGAAATCCGAGTTGGCTGGAGATATAGGCCACTGCGGTCCGATTCCCTGCTTACAACGGTTATTCACATTTAAATTCCGCACTGTCACATAATTTATGAAGCTGCTGGACATCCGGAATATTCAATGACCCAGGGATTATGATATTCGAGTTGTGGCTAAATGTTTGCAAGTTTTGGTAAAATACTAAGAGAAAACAATTTATTAACGCATTATAATTAACTGTCCCCAGTTCACCAGACCTGTCAAGTGATTTATGACAACCATCCCGACGAAAAATCCATGTAAATTGATTATTAGTTACCTTTATATCGGGATTTAGTGTGGGGCAAACTCTTAAAACGAAATAAATGGCAGATTTAAATGCTTGATTTATTGGACTTTCTAAATTTGTGTAAATATCTAATTGGCTTCAGTTTCAGTTTTGGAATTGTTTCTCTTATAACTCAATATCCGTGTTTGCCCCAGTATCGGTGTAATTACGCGTTGGTGAAAGTCGACATGGTAACGATTTACTAATGTAAATTAAATAGGATTCCTATCCGGGAGTCGACTCATTGCGGCGCTTAGTTAATTAAGCGCGAAACTTTTTGTATATTTTTTACGTTTGTCTGAAACTCTGAAAAGTTGTGGACATCATCAGACTGCGGGTGTGTGCGAGTGTCTCTTTGAATAGGGCAGGGCAAAAGTTTTGTGCATATTGAAATTAGTTTTATTTTTGCCAGAGGCACTCATAAAAAAGCTCATTAGCTGTGCGAAACTTCCTCTAAATCAAATGGATTAGCTGTATACTCGCATATGTAAATTAAGTACCCGCCGTGTTGACACAATAGTGGCTGGGAGAGGCAAGGCAAGGTACAAATGAGCAGAAAGAAAGAGAGCAGGGGAGAAATGCAAATTTAATAAGGTCAAGCATGGCGCCAGCAAAGAGAACGCTGTTTTGTTATTCACAGTAGCTGAAAGGGTTCGCCCAGGCGCCTGTCACTGTCCTGTCGCCGTTTCCCCCCTTTGAGTGACACTTGCGTAATTTTGGCAGGTGCTTTCGGATAAAGCAGGAAGACGACAACGACAACGGCAACGAAAACGAACCCCACCTGAAACAATGTGCTGCGAAAGACAAGGGCAGCGAAAAGAAGTAGCCGAGGCATCCGGCAAGGAGTCTGGATCCAACTGCGATTCCGATTTCGAATCCGACACAGGACCCACAGAAGGCGAGCCCGGAATCGAGAGTGGGGAAAAGTTCGCTGAACAACAATTACAATAAGCTGGACAGGGCAACAGCTGCCGGCTGTCGCGCAGCATTGTCCGGCGCCGTCCTGGACAAAGACCTCTGCATGCCGCGCGGAGTGGAAACACTTTTCTTATTACACAATATACAATCATAATAACAATCATAATAATAACAACCGCTGAGCACAATGACAGATTTGTCTTTTCCTCGCTCCTGCTTCCACTTGGTCGCAACACGTGCGGAAATAAGCGGAAGCCGCAGCAACAATGGCGACAACGGCAGCCAGTGGTGGCTGAACATGAAATTTGTTGTATGCAAAAGTAAGCTGCACTTTAGTGCTTTTTGGTGCAGAAAGCACTGCGGCTCTCAAATTAGCGGCATAATAAAGTGAGGGTCGTATGCAACAGCAGCGCATTGTCAGAGGCAACTGTAGCGTATATTGTGCCGTGCGGAGCTGTTAATTTTGTTACTGAAAAAAGTCACTTAACTTGAAGTCATGTAGCTTTAATGGCGTCAGGAACATGTAGTAGCAATAACAAAATGCTATATTTAGTTGGGAAATGTGTACATATGTAGATAGGAACTTAATATCTGCTGCAGCTTTGTATATTTTTCTGCTGCTACCTTTCTCAAGCTTGGTTCTTTGCGTCGCTTTCGTGGGTTGTCCTGGGTAAATATTCCCGGAAGCAGCTTAAAACAAAGTAACTCACAGTCGAGTGCCCTCTCGTTTTTTTAAATTTGAATGGAGTGCATCTATCACTGCCAAGCTAATCCAGTCTTGTGTTTCGCGGTTTATTTAGAAAACATTGACACCACTCGGCTCGAGTTGTGAATGACAGCCTGCATGAGGCAGTTTGTGGTCCACCGTCCAAAAGGCGTTTTTTGTGGCAACGCTTCCACGTTCCTCATTTTTTCCAAGGCCTTTTTGTCTTCCACTGCCGGGTGTCTGGCAATTGTTGGGCATTTGCCGGCGACTCCTAAAAGTATGCCTCGTGCTGGCCAGATTTTTATGGCACACATGCAACATGCATATTTGCTTACATGTACGGACGTGCACGTGTTTGCAGCAGAGCCGCATAAAACTCCGCCTAACATCGGCAGGAGCAGGAACAAAACCCAAGGCATGTCGACATGCAAGTGAACAGTCTCGCACACACCAGCACACGCCCCACAACAAAAATTAACAAGCAAATAATCCACCAAGAGCGACGGCAACAACAATACTCACAAAACAGAAACAACTCACGCACGATGGAGCAGGAAACACATTTTTTGGGCGAAATAAATTAATCACTCACTTAATACACCTGATAATTATCATTAAGTTCTACAAAAAACGTTTTTTTTTTCTACACTCAGAAAGAATCTATTCTAGAAGAAACCTTCGCGTTTTAGAACCATTTACCGAAATCGAATAGGTAAATATGTTCACATATGTACATATGTATGTGTAGGCATACATATATAATACATATATAATAAGTGTTCAAATTGATCAAATAAGACAAAATTATGTTCTAAAACAGATATCAAAATATACGAAGTATTTTAATTAAAAACATCATAAAAAGCGCATGTATTCTTTCGATAATAACTTCTAAACCAGAGGCGATTTGCTTATATACTCCAAAACAAAATAAATTATATACTCGAAAATAAACGAAAAAGGATATATGAGATTACCAATAGTGGTATAATTTTGATTTGCATTGTATCTTCCTTTTATGTCCCGTGAAAATCTACTTCAAAACATTGAATATACATTTTTTTTTAAATTCAATTCAATTTAATTCAGTCGTTCTCAAAAACCATTACCATTTTTTACTCGGTGCGAACCACTTGGATTTTGCAATCATCTTAACAATGAAATATTACACAAAATCTATTTTTGCATCAACGAAAGAACTAAATCCAAATTGGAAAGAATCAGGACGTTGCAGAATAAATTACTCCGCAATACTTCAGAACCTCAGTGGTTCATTCGCGATGTAGACATCGCCAAAGATCTTCATGTCTCCCTGATTGGATATGTTATTAACCAGCAGTGGTCTAGCTACATTAACAAGCTGTTGAATCACTCCAATGTGGTGGCCTGAAGTTTAAGGACAACGAGAACCTTGGCCCAGGCTAGACCCACTCATCAGATTGTCTTTAGAGAATAATTTAACACTTAAATTAAAATAAACATAACCGTCCTTTTTTACTCACAACGCTACCCTACAGTAACAGAAGACACTATAACTACACTTTTTATAAAAGTTATCCTATTAAATAAAGCTGTTTATTTACTATTCTAACTAAAATATCGAATATCAACCAATAAGACGACGAGCCAAGTCAATCTGTTCGTTTTATCTATATAAATGGTTATAGTAGATATTACATATGGTACATATTAAACAGGCAGCATGTAACATTACGTAGTCATTCCTATTTAAAAATATTACGTTTTTCTTAACCTTTGACTGAATGAATCAATGAATTAGTGCTCTGTTTTTAAATCCTTTTCAGAAATGCCTTTTAAAATACATAATTTAAGAGGCATTTTTTTTCCCGAAAAGCGATTGTTCACCCCATAGTGGCGCTGGAATAACGGTAAACTTTGCGAATGTGGAAGGCAACAACAGTACGCACACACATCGAACACGAACACACAGCGCCACACCCACGACCAAGCGGGCAAAATGAGAGCGACAGAGAGAGCGCGGGCTGAGAGAAATGCTCCGATTTCATTATGAGTCCCGCTTATGTAGTATGTATATTCTTGTTAAATATTAATTAAAATATGCGCATTTGCTGTTTTCCATCCGTCTACCAGCTTTGCTTTTAGATCTCTTTGTCATGGAATTGCTCTTTGCTGTTGGTGTCCTTGTGCCCTGCGAAAGGATATGCCAATGAGGGACTCAGGCAGTGTTTTCTGATACAATCGATAGGAATGCTAATTTATTTGTAATAATAATAAAGCTGCAAAGAAACCTTTTCAAAATTAGCAGTCACTTATTAAACATAATAATTGAATTGTCCTAGAAAGTAGTGCAATACAATATAAACTTTTATTCAACTTATGGTTAGGTAAGAATTATATTTTGTAGTTTAATTTTGGAATTATGTAAATTATGCAAAATCAATTACCGGATATTTAATTGCAGTAGTTCTTGCTTCGAGCACATTTCATATGCATACATAAATCTTAAGCATTCGGAAATGGCAAGACGAAGCAAATTTCGCATTGGTTGCCTTTTTGCCAGTGACTCCTTAAGGTAGCCTCCGTGCTTATTTTTGCTTGCCAGGCACTTTGGAACAGACTTTGTTCTTTGAGAAAACGACATCTTTAGGGTAATGTTTTTCAGCATTTATATTTATTTATTTAGACTTTTTGTTTAAACTTACATAATAGCATACATAACTTTTAGTTCCATGTTGGTAACGTTTATTTTACTAAATTACATTTGTTCAGTTGCCAAAACATGACGCATTCCATGATTGCATTTGCATTTATTTTTCGATTGCATCCGCATTCGCTGTCTACGTATTTGTTCAGCATTTGTTTGCGGACGGGGCGATTTTTTAGCGGACAAAGAGCGGAATAAAAAATGCATATACATACATATACCAAACCATACCATACCGAGGCGGGTATGTGTGCGGAAAATTAAATGCAAGTCAGAAAAGTTGAAAATAAATTGGCGCAACTGCATTTAAGCATTTAAGTTATTTGATTTCGATTTCGCGCGTGGAGAACATGCGTCTGTCGTTGCCAGTGAAATCGTTTGCTGCACATCAATCTCGGATCGGAGAATCGGGGCTCTGGCGAACCCGGACTGGGACGCGGGATTAAGGCACAGCAAGCAGCGTCATTAAGGATTAGGTTTGCAATTACGAGTAGGGTATAAATTCACTAAGTTACACTCCAAGAATTAACAAGAAACGGCCCGCGGGCGCTGCGTGGCTCCTGCTTCATGGCAGCAGGCGTGGGTTGAAGCGTCCCATGAACAGGATCATGCCCGTGGGATTGTGTCGCACGAAGTAGAGGAAGGGCTTGTCGAAGCGGAGTCTCGGGGCGTCGGGGACACGAGCCTGCCGCGGGCGAAGTGGCAGCGGTAGTTCCAGGTACTTGGGGTCTAGTAGGTCATCGTAGAAGCCCCGTCCCAGAGCCGACTCCTGCACCAGCGAGCCGAAGTCCACGACAGCCTCTGACGAATCGAATGCGTCGTCGTCCGTTGCGTCCACGTCCTTGTTGCGCTTACGAAGTGGCGGGGCCGGGTACATCTCCACGTGGTGGTGCTCGGAGATCTTCTCCTCGCCGCAGGTGCTGAACGTGTTGATCTGTATCATGTCGGAGAGGAAGATGTCCCGGTTGGCGGCTCCAGTCAGTCCGCGCAGGTCGGCAAAGTCTGACTTGAACAGACCGCGCAACCCCATCTTCTGCAGGCCTAACGAGGCGTTTACAAAGGAGCGGTGCGAGAAGCGTGGCAGCTGCACCTCCATGCCAGGCCGGTCCATCAGCGACGTGAGCAATCGGCTCCAGGCCTGCGTCTCGCCGAAGGCCGTCTCCACCAGGCTGCGCTCCAGGCGGTCCAAATTGTCCATTGGCGAGATGGAACTCTGGTGGCCGGGCATCACGTAGACCGTGCTTACAGTGTCCTGCAGGCGACCGAACGACACGATGGTGGCGTCCAGTTTCGGCTCGTACCCGGCCAGGAAGCCGGAACGGTAGAGCACAGCCGGAATGGGCACGAGGCGGCGCTGGCGCACGGTGGGGTGCACCTGGAAGAACATCTCCCCATCCCGTTCGGCCGTTGAGCCGCGTGAGCAATCCGTTTGGAACAGGTTCGCCGATATGGTGGCCAGCGGACCGTTGACCCACACGCTGTTAGTGCGCAAGTACTCCAATACCTTTCCCATAGTGTGGCGCTTCACCAGGAGGTTCGTGCGACGTCGCACAATATCGTTAACCACATGGAAGTTGACCTCCTCGACGTGGCCAGCGTATAGCTGTTGAGTCTTCTCCTTAAAGAAGGGCAGAATTTTCCCGTTGGCACGGTCACTGAAAATTTCCCTTACAAAAGCCGCCGTCGCAATGTCGCTGTCCATGGCCTGTTCCACCCCACTCGTTATGTTCTTGAATATCAAGTGCGGATTGAAGGTCACCATGTCGTCCAGCTTCAGTATTTCGTTCATCTCACCGGAGGTGCTGCCCCGCGCCCCCATGAATACCATGGAGAGCATGGAGGTGATGCCGAAGGGTGACAGAATCACACTCCTGGCCGAGCTGATCTTCTCCGAAGTGATGGCGCGCCAGTAGCTGAAGGCTAGTTCGTTGCAGAGTCGGGCGAACGACTGCAAGTCCTCGTCCATGTTGGCGGTGGTGGCTTCCAGGCCCTGCGAGGACTCTGGGCTGGGCTCCAGTTTGACGGGTGGCCGGGTGGCTTGGGTGGAGCTGGCCATGAGATTGGTCAACGAGGCGGGGCGCTGCGTCGGTCGCTGCAGACTTGCCGGCGATTGCATCGGAGCCTGTGGATGGGACGGAGCGGCCTTGTTGGCATTGTAGGGCAAGACCTTGGGCGGCTGAAGGTCCAGTTGGTTGTAGCCACCCAGCAGAGACGGCTGGACGTAATAGGATACTGGCCTCAAAGTGTTTAGTCGCTTGGTAGTTGTGGCGGGCGCTGGAGTTGAGGTGGAAGAAGGTTTGTTTGCCGTAATTGTGGTAAAGGGTCTGGAAGTAGTGGTAGTGGTCGTAGTTGTAGTACTGCTGGGCAGAGCCAATGGCATCTGGTAGACAGCCTGATCTTCCTCATCCTCCTCATCGGCCTGATCAACGGAAGGAGTTTCATAGCCAGCTAATGGCAACGTCACCTTGTAGTTATCCTCCTCGGCACTCTTATCCCCGCCGCTGCCGCCTTCCTTGGAGTTGGAGATAAGCGGTCTCACCACGCTGGCCGTCGTTTCACCGAGCTTGATGTAAGGATCCTCGTCGTCCAGCTGAACCTTTTGGCCATTCGTCACCGCATCGGCATCCTCCGAGTCGCCTTCTTCAGAAATGGTGGCTGTCAACTCGTCGGAAATGTTCTCCATCGACTCGTCGTTCAGCTGCTGCGACTTTACCGTGCTCAATTCAATTTGTTCCGTTGCTTGCTCCGAGCTGAGCGACATGTCCGACTCGGAAGATACCAGGGACATATCGCCGGGAATTTTTGTCACCGGCGCCTCCTCCCTCTCTTCGCTGGCCGGCGCTTGGTACTGCGGCAGGAGTTGGGCGGCGTTGGTGGCGCTGTCCTCAACATTACTGGTCTGGGCTACCTGGTCCTGCTGGTCTGGCTGCTCAGGCTTATCGGGCTGTTCCGTTGTTGACGTTTGCTCCTCTTCCTGTGCGTCCTGGTAAACATTAGTCGCCGTCGTCGCCTTTTCCGCCGCTGGCTGCTGGGTGGTCGTATCTGGCTCTTCCGGCGGTGACTTTACCGTGCTGTAGATGGACTCCGGGTCTGCTTCTTGGCTAGTGCCCGCCTCCGCCTGCTGCTCCTCGTTGTAACCATTTGTCAACATCTCGGGCATTTGCTCTTCACTTTCGCGCTGCGTGTAGCTGTCGGGGATTTCGCTGTAGCTGGTCGTTGACTCCTCGCTGCCGGAGCCCTCAGTGCTGGCCGTGCTCTCCTCGTAGGTTTCCTGCGCTGGCTGTCGCTCAGTGGTGGCGGCCACCTCAGCGGTGTATGCCTCGGTGGTGTCTGCTGCGGCCACTGTGGACAGAACTTCGTGAGCCGGGGCGGTTTCCGGCCTGGTCGGTTCTTGAGTTGGCTGCAGCTCAAGTCTTTCGTTGGCAAACACTTGCTGCTCCTCGTCCTCGTCCTGCTGTTGCTGCGCGTAGATTTGCGAAAGCGACAGGATGGGAATGCGGTGCGTACTCGTCTCCACGTGTTCCAGGTGCACCGCTTCCTGTTCGGGGGAGACTGCGGCTGTCTCATTTTTCTCTAGCAGCTGTTCCTCAGGCTGTGGTTGAAGTTTGTACGGGTCTTGGGGTGCTTGGGGCTCCTCGGGCTCTTTGGTCTGGTCTGGCTTCGGCTTTGGCTGTAGAAGGAACGAGGCATTTAAATTGGCAAAGTTGGTCAGGCGATGTGAGTCGTCCACTAGTGGCACCTTGGCCGGCGGGGGCTTGTACTGGTCGCCTTGTGTGATCTGCTGGATAACATCGGACATGAGAAACTCCAGCTCATCCTTGGTTTCGTTGGAGTTCATGGCAACGTCTGAGACTAGCGTGTTGCTTCCGTCCACAAGCGTGGAGGCAACAGTGGCCGCCTGCGTCTGGAAGTTGGCCATTGAAATCTGATCGGTGGGTTTGAGCACCTCAAGGTTGAGTTGCTGCACCAAGTCGGCGATCATAGGAGTCACTTCTGTGCTGCCGTCATCAAAGTCAGCGGATGTACTGCTCTCAGAGACTGGCAGTCGTAGTGCCTGCTCGGTGGTAGCTCCCACTGTCTCCGCCCCAATAGGCTGTTGGTTATAGCCACTCGTGGGGTTAGGTTCCTCAAGCTCCTCTATAACCGCCTCCGGCACCTCTGCGTAGAGTGGCTCAAACTTAACGACATGATCGGACTCCTCAGTGGGCTTATCGGTGGTGGCATCCACTTCGTCGAGCGGTGACATTGGGGTTGTTACTAGGAACTGAGTTTGACCAGGCAGCTCTGTGGTTTCAGGCTCCTTGGGCTGGTGAGTTTCGACAGGCTTCAGGGGTTCCGGCTGTCTGGTCACCGTAAAGTACTGTGGCCTAGCTGTGATCACTACCACGGGCGTTTGTTCCTCAGCATCATCTTCGAGGCTGCTTTGCGTGGTCTCTGATGGCTGCTTTTGGCTTAGAGAGAACTCTGTGGAACCGGCAGCCTCTTCGTCCTCTTCGGAGAGCATCGTGGCCAGAGTACTACCGCCGTAGTGGGACGAAGGGGGCTTATTGCTGGTCAAAATTGTAGGCTTGGAGGAAGAAGTTGGCATGGGAGCAGGTGTAGTCGTTACTGCAGCTGGAGGTGAGCCAGCTGAGACTGGAATCTTTTTCTTGTTGGCCAGAGCTTCCATTTGCTGCTTGTTCTCGGCACTGTCGTACTTAACAGGACCAGACGCGGAATCCTCGTCCTCTTTGTCCGTGGCGGATAGGTCCTGTGTAAGTGACTGCACAATTTGGTCCATCGAAAGGATTTGGGCGGGCGAGAGCTGCGGTGCCGGCGACGGAGAACCAAGGTGGAGCTGTTGCTGCAATTGAGCTAGAGACGGCAACGGGGTCTTCTTCAGCGGTGACTGGTCCACCGTTGAGTCGGCAAACACTGTGGGCAAGTTCTGAGAGGATTCGACATTGTAGCTGGGCAGCGGATACATTGGCTGCTGCGGGGTGCTTGAGGCGGCAATCACGTTCACTAGTCCGTAGCTTTCGGTCTGAGCCTCGCCAGCGTCCTTACTGGACTCTGTAGTGGTGCTGTGAACTGGTTTGCCGTGGACGCGATTATGGTGCTGGGTGATGGATGGACGACTGGTGGATCCCACCGGCTTTGTATGCAATTTCTGGTGGTGCAGTGCGGGTGGTTTCGCCGTCGATTTAACTGGGGCAGCTGTTGTACTAGTTGTGGGAGCTTCTGTTGTGGTTGTTGTTGTTGTGGAAGTAGACGCGACAGGCTCTGGTTCGGGCTCCGCCTGTGGAGTGGTGGTGACTGGGCTCTCCGGATCTGGCTGCGAGGCTGGTGCCTCCGTCGAACTGCTCACTGGTTCGGGGGTACTAGCTGTGCTTGTTTCGGGAGCGAGCGTGGTTGTTGTCGTAGAGCTTGTCGATGTTGGCTTGGGCTTCTTGTGGGGTCTCTGTGGCCTGGGCGGCCTCTGAGTGCTCTCGACCTGCTGCTGCTGCTCAACTTGCTGGACCAGTGGCTTGGGCTTGGCAGTTGGCTTGCGCTTTGGCTTTGATGGCTTGCCGCTGACAGAAGTGGATCCCGTGCCGGGTGTTCGTGTGGGCTTGCGCTTCTTTTTCTTGGGTGTGGTCGGGGGCGGTGCTTGGGTAGTGGTGGTGCTGCTGGCTTCTGCTGGTGGGTCCTCCCCAGCCTGTTGAGTGGACGACTGTACTTCCGCCTCTGGAGCAGCCGTGGTCGTCGTTGTCGTCGTGGATGGCTTCTTCTTTACCTTCTGCTTGCCTCCAGTGGGCTGGGATGAAGTTTCGATTGTACCATCGCCGTTGGGTTTCTTTACCCGGTGGGGCTGTGTCGGCTTCCGCTGGACGTTCGACGGCTTCTTGGCCAGCTGGTGGTTTGAAACGATCTTTTCTGTGGTGGAGGTCGCGCTGCTGGAGGAGGTCGGCGTGTGGATGATCTCCTGGTTGTTGTAAAAGACGCGCCGAGTGGTTGTCTCTGGCCTACCGGTTGTGCTTGGCCGTTTCTGGTAGATGGGCTGCATGTGGAGCAGTTCAAAGTCCGGCACATTGGCGGCCACGTGCTGGTACTGTTGCATACCAGTGTAGACAGACTCCATGGGGTCCAACTCTTCTTGAACCACCTGCGGGGTCACCGGGGTGGTGCTGGTGGTGGCAGCAGGCTTGCGTTTGTTGCCTGGCTTTCGCTTGGAGGGTTTCGGTTTCTTTGTGGCACGCGTTGCTGGCGGTGCGGCTCTGGTCGAGGTCTCAAGGAGCTCCGATTCGGGGGTCATCACGATCTGCTGTGGCCGCTGCTGGGGGAAAATGTCTCCGCCCGTGTTGCCGAAAATGGCGGGAAGGATAAGCGACCAGGACGAGGAGACGTCGGGCGTGTCCAGCAACGGAGGCAGCAGCTCACCGGAGCTGTTCTTTGCCGAGCTGGAGGCCACCTCTTTGTTAAGCACACTCTGTACGCTGTCCACAATGTCTTGGACATTCTTGTCGGGATTGTGTTCGGCCAACGGAGCTGGGTGGATAATGGACGGTCCCTCGCCGTCGCCGTTGGCTACAATGCTCTGGATCTCCTGCATGGTCATCAGACGCTTGACCAGCTCGCCGTGCTCATCAAAAGTATAGAACTCGTAGCGGTCCGGATTGAGCAGGTCGATGGGACTAGCCACCTGCAGCGAGGGCTGTGGCTTTGGCACCTTGTGGCCGAGGGCGTCCGTGAACTGCGGTTCATTGCCATCAAGAACCACTGACACCGACGCGGTTGTACTGAAAAGGTAAAACATTTAATTATATTAACTGTCATTCGTCAAAAGTTAACTATGTATCTCTGCTATAGCCTGCCTATTAAGGCTTACGCCTTAAGCTATAACTTTATGTCTGAGTATCTTGCTCGCAGTCCTTGACCAAAAATGTATTTTATCATTAATATAAAATATTTGATTACAAAAGGAAAATTTTCATGGGAGATATTAGAGTTGCTCTGGCAATCATAATAAATATCATAATGTCAAAGTTGATCCACAAAACAACAAGTCTAAAAATTGTGTCTCTTTGGATTGCAACTTTTCTTAAATTGGGCTATTTTATCTGAATTCTAGTCGAAATGCGTAGTCTTTGCTTATCGAGCGCTGTGTACTTGTTTTCCGAAGACTCACACTATTGATTCGTTCAGCACTGATTAATGACATGAGGCTGCTATATATGCTATATAGAGTTGTGTCGGCGGAAGAGTCGTTTGTCCCTCTGAAATGCAAGTAATGCTGCATACTTGGCGGCACATCGCTGGCATTTTAATGGAAATTGAAAACTATGCAATCGTTGCAGAAAGTCACGCAGTCACGCTGGTCCAGACCCCCGGAACCCGCCCCTCCCTACGCAGCATCTGCATGCATCGCCATTTGCATTTGTGCATCGCTTAGTGGGGATATCTCGGCACACACTGCAGTTTACATATGTAAGACGGGGTGTGTGCGACTGTACGATATGAGTATGCAAGTAATCCCGCGTGCGGCATGAGCACATCATTAACATTTAAGCACGTGAGTCGGAGAGCGCTTAGTCATATGCAGCTGCCACCCACACATATCGTTCGGGTGTATATGCCACAGAGCCTGAGTCTCGTCAAAATCATCAACAGCGCGCGTCGGAGGCGAATTAAGTGCACAAATGTGTTGCAATGGGATTAGGGTAAGATAGTCCATGGCTATTTTTAAATTTCAACACATACTCCGGGGCATGCAACGTTCGAGGCTAAAAAATACGATTTATTGACCTTTTCCTATTAAATTCTTATGGGTTTAAGTTGTCGGCCAATCGCAAAACACCCCGGGAATGCCGGATTGCAGCCCAATAAAAAATGCATGTAAATATGGCAGTTGCGCCTGACTGCAGCTGTCAGCGTGGATCAGCGTTTCCTCATCATCGCTGCCATAGTTATCATTGCCATAATCGTTATCATCGCTATCATCATCGCGGGCCACAGCTCGCAGTCATTACCAAGAGCAGCTGGCGCCAGAAGCCGCGGGCTGCGAATTCGTTTATGGGCGGAATTATTATAAAACTGCGCCGGAACCTCTCCGAACAGATGTCATGGGGGGTCAGGCGAGTGGCAAAAGGTTGTGAAAATTGTGAAATGAGATTTTACCTCCTTGTTTATATGCCCGTAATGCTTTTCTGTTTCAAATTGATTAGGGCAGATGAACCGTTTTGGACCCACTTCGAAATCATTGCGCCCACGTAAACCCAATTGATTAGCATTGATTTGAAGTTAATGAGCACTCAATTTGGCCGCTGTTGTCTGGCCCTCGTTTACAGCCCACCTATACCTACACCTTTCTTCCGCAGCCACTTCCATCTCCACCAAACCAGATTTAGCCCGACGGGATTCCGAACGCGTGCCGCAAAGTATGCACTGCTCTGCTGCCCACTCCAGCACGCTTTGCGGCCGCGGAGCAAATTAATTAAAAATACTAAGGCCATGGCCAGAGCTCCGCCAGACCGACCCACGCTCCTCAATCGACACAGCGACTACAACAAAGCAGGAAATTCTATTTCAATTAGTGGCAAAAATTGCAAAAAGCTGCGCAAACAAAAGATTTTCCCCAGCAACGGCAAAAGCAACTGCGATAGAAACACCAAACAACGGACAAGTAAAATGGGCGTGGAAATCAGGGAGACCTTCCCCATTCTGCACAGGGAAAAATAGGTTACAGAGTTAGAATAGATATTTCTAATCATTTATGTATATTTTAATGTTTGTTATCTTCCAACTTTGCCCAATTATTCCTCTAAGAAGTAACCAACATCTAAAGCTAATACTATATTATTCCTTTTTCAAGCTAACAATAATATCTAAATAAAATCTGTTTAGAAAGTATCTCTGATATATTACGACATTTCTCAGCGTGGATTCGTCAATTCCAGCGGGACAGCCGCTTTGAGCCTAAGTGTGCATCCTGACAAACCCAGTATGTGTACTCACCTGGAACCGATGACTCTCTTTGCCTGCTCGCCATCAGTCTCCTTCGGTCTCTGTGTGGCTGTGGCCAGCGTGTGATGTGACCCCTGCTCCTCCGAGGGAGGGGGCGAGTCATAGACAAAGGCCGGCTGCAGGGGGGCGGACTGGCTCCGCTGGCTGGATGTCGTCGAGGTGGTCACATAGGTGACCAGGGGCTGCTCGGACTGACTATTTGGATAGGCCAGCGCGGCTGTGGCCAGAGTCAGCCAGGCACAGGCACAGGCCCAAGGTTTGATCCGGGGCCGTAACGGCTGGGTGTGGCGCGGCGGCCGCATGGTAGAGCCGTGCTAGCGCGAATCCTTGGCGCTTCGTGTGTCGGTCGGGCGGGCGGTTGTTTTTACTTTGGCCTCGGACTAATCTTAAAGTTGTTTTCTCTCCCTTTTGCTGTCGGGAGGTCAGGACCCTTGGCTCACTGAGCCCGTTCGGCGCTTAATGTCGAAGGACGCTGGGTAAACATCAAACGAAAGCTGCAAAGTGAAATGAAAAGCTAATTAATGCAATGTTAATGGAGGCGAGCGAGGAGAATGCCACTGGAGGGAGCATTTGCATAACGTGGGAAGGCTTTAAGAAACTTGCGAAACTTCGGGCGGCGCTGCAGGAGGTGCATCGTGCTTTCAGGCCCTGTCATAATCAGACGTCCTGGCAGCAGGCAAATTGCCAGGCACCTGAAACCCGGCACGCTAATGCGCCTGTAATTATGCTAATAATAACGAGCAGCCACATGAGAGGAGCATGAGTGGTGGTGGTGCCATTGGAGGCGGCGTCTTTGCCGTAAAGCACGCTCTCGGTGACCTGCCCTAAGTGCCAGGCAATTTGGCATTAAGGCCCGGGTATGTGCGGCACTACCGCGTGCATTATGGCTTGCAGATAGCACCTGGTCGAATTTAGAGATCCCTAATAACTTAGAGCGGCCGCTGAGCTGGCCTACGTGACTGAGGGTTGTGGGTGGTGTCCTTTCCCCGGTGTCTCAGGCTCCTTTTTGTTTTCATCCTGCGATGTCGCCTGTCACTTGCTATCAGCATCAGAAATCTGTGCAAATACTTGGCAGCCATTTTGACAGTTTCGCCTGTCTGACTGCCTGGCGTTGTGCCACTAAGCCTGTGCCGGGCATGCGTGTGTGTGATAACGCAAATGAATTGTCAATGTCGCGACTCGGGGGAAGACAGCGAACAACGAACAACAAACAGGCAATATGTTAATAAGCAAAATGGCCGAGAATGGAAGAATGCGCTGACAACTTAAAGCCGGAGCTGTCAAAACGTTAGCGAGGAGAATCGCACCCCCATCACCCCAAACACCCCCATCGCACACATGCCCACCCCTTTGTGGCTCCCCTTGTGAACCCGAAAAGTAGCACCACATCACGTATGAACACCAACACAGACATTGACGGTAGTCGCACATATACGGCAGATTGCTAAACGATTCCTGGTCAATGTGGAAAAAATCGGGCATAACATACGAGTATATATACCGAGGCAGGGCCATAAAAATATGCTCGCTGACTGGCTGCTGACGGCATTGGCACTTGTGGTCGTATTTTTGATTTTCTCCGTTCGTTTTATGGCCGCATAGCAACGAGGGAAATACACAAAAATTAACATAAATTGGGCGTTAAATATTTCAGCATAATGTACGTTTCGCAGCGTCCGCCGACCCATTGATATCGGCGACAAAGGACGACTCGTCACGGCCATAAGTTGCCAATTGATTTGTAACGCTAAATTACGATTGTCAGCGCTCCTTCGCAGTGTGTGTTTGTGGAGGAGGAACCCGGCTGACATTGAAATGTAAATGAAACGGTGGCCTACCCTTTGGGACCTGGGACTCAGAGTCGAGAGCTGGTTACCGGGAGAAGAGGCAGAGTCCGAGATGTTAACTGTGGAGCTCTGGTGAAGCAGGTTGGTCGGACTGCCATTGTTTGGGCGACAATGATGCCGAGTGACATGACAAGTGGACGACAAACACACCGGCACACACTTACCTACAAAACGTCACAAAAGGTGGCCTATCGCACACACACATACACAGACAGTGAAAGCCTGTGCAGGACCCAATACAGTTTCAGTTTCAGTGTCAGCTTTGGCTTCAGCTTCGTCCAAGATTGAACCTGACAGCTGTAGAGACAAGCAAACGAATCGAAAGGAAAGGAAATGCGACCGCATACAAACTGGACGTTTGTCTAAACAAATCACTAAGAGACACATGCAAATAGTTCTGGAAGGGGAGTGCCTACGATAAATCAAATGCCAAGAGCTGTATTTAGCCCAAAAATATATTTTTGGGGCGAGAGACAGACAGATTCCGTTAAAGCCATGTGTTAAAGGTGTATACATGTGCTATTCAGGATATGAAATATTATTCTAGAAACATGTTTTTGAATTTGGGTATAAATTACTATTCTGGTAAGTGTTATGAACCTGTTAATCAAAATGCATTCTATATAACAATTACTGTGTTTATAAACCGTGACTATTGCCTATAATTCTCAGAACTGGCTTCCCAGTTCTGTTTACAATAATTACACGTTTCCAGCTAATTAATTCCTGGAAATTGGGTTTAAATGCTAAGTAAAGGTCATGGGATGCTCAGCCACAAATAAAATATTTGCTTTTGAGGTCATGGGAAACGGAAATCCACTTAAGTCTGTTGAGACCAGTAAAGGACAAACTGAGATATATGTTTGCCAAGTTGCGTGTGACAAAAATACCCGGCGAAATTGGTTTTAAGGCCCCAGGATCAACAAAAAATAAAGTAGACAAACGGTCAGCAAATGAGCCACTCACACAGCTACATAGAGGACTTGAGCTTCAGTAAAAGTTAAGCAGAGTTTGCAGCGCCCACAGCGACCGCCGAAATGTGTCACGTTTTGTGGGTTTGTAGAAAGTTAAGATTTTGTGCCAAGGCGAAACTTATTCTTGTATGTTTCTTGCTTGTTAGCCATTGATTTTTTATTGGATTCATTATTCGCTGTACACGCAGCCAGCCAGACTGTGGCCCAATCAGTTATCGTTTGCAGCTAGGAAATTAAGGAAAATCGCATTACAGCGCAGAGCGACTAATCAAGGTCGCTGCCAACCAAGAACCGCAAGAGCTCTGGACAGACTCGCACTCGTCGAGCACTGTACCGGCAATCTGTTGAGTCTGATTTCTGTTCCATTGCCCTTCCCGCCGAGGAAGCGCAGCCAAGTGTTGGCCGACATTTACACGCTGCTTCCGCCAGGCAGAGCCTTGCCTTTAGTCTTTAGTACTCAGTCTTTGTCTTTAGCGGGCTAGGCAAGCTTCGGCCGGCAGCTCCAGGACTCGCCAGGACCCTCCACGACCCTTCAGGGCTCGCTCTTTCGCACTTTACGCTCTCGCGAATCCCGCTGTGGATTGGTGTTCGCTACACTAACAAAAGTTTATCGCTCTGCTTCCGTTTCCGTTACGTTACGTATACGCTCCCCGTGCGCAACCTCCCGATGTGCTCATAAGATGTAATTTCAGCCGCTGCCCCTGCCCCGGCTCCATCTTGAAAACTTTCTTCCTCGTGCACAGAACATTTGATTTTATTTATTTATTTCGATTTGCGCTTTTCTTTCGCAGCACACACACTAAACACCCGCACACACTTTGGGCTGTTGTTCTTCTTTGCCTGGCGTCCTGGCCGACATAACGATTTCCTTCCTCCAGCCCACAGTGGGTCCATCCCAGTCCAGACAGAGTACAATTTCGGATTTTAAACGTATTTATTACCGCTTTCCCCTTCAACGATTCCATGGATACAAGTTTATATTCTCCTCCAAATACATTGACGGAGAAACTATACTTTTTGGTGTTTGGGCACTACTTTAAGAACAAGCAAGAAGGAAAACCTAGATTGTTTGCAGGAGAATGAAAGCTAAGTCTTAAAAAAAGTCAAATTCGAAAAGGAATTGTCAACTATTGCATTGTAAACACACCAAAATATTATAAAAGCTACTCTAGTTAATAGAGGAAGCTCTTTTACAAGATGTTTGGGAATGATGTAAGAGCTAATTAATTGGAATATATTTACAATAATAGAATTTCCAATTTCACCAAATATAATTTAATGTTTTCTGCCAAACATGCAGGACATATGAGCCAAGATTTATGGTTTAGAAAGTCGAATTAATTGGGAAAAAAATACAAGAGCTGATTTCGACCCAGTGTGCGTGGCTGGTGCCTACATATCTCTCTTCCTGTTTCTACGAGTACTGCCACTGGCAGCAGAGCGCCTCTTCTGGCCCGGCTAATGTGCATTTTATTTTCCGCTCTCAGTGCCGCCGGAGCTTAGTCGATTCATTGGCCATTTACTGACTGGCAGTGCCACTTCCGCCCGGGTTCCCGGGGCTGCCGTCGGGCATGTGCATGACATATATTGTTTTGGCAAAGATTTCGCACGCCGCAGGAGCTCGATATAATTTTCGGCATTCCATTCCCATCACGTGCATATCTCGCTATGCCAATCTTCATTTGGCTATGAAACTTTTCAGCTGCTGCTCCCCCTGGCAGCCGGCTGTCTATTCTTTCCCCAGCCTGTTATTGTTTGGAGCAGATCGGATTTTGAGAGGACGTAGGTGGACTGTGTGCTCATGCTTGGCAGACCGCGCACAAAGGCCGAGGTGGAATCTGTGGCATGTCTGCCACTGACACCGCACTTCAACATAAATAAATCCCTGGGCCCGGGTCGGGCTAAGGCGCTCGCAAGTTGGCTTTATAGTTTTTCAAGTTTGTGCGGAGTAACAATAAATGCTTCCCCAGGCATTATTCCGCTCCGCACGTGTCGCGCATCGAAGCCCCAGATCTTTGGGCCATTGTCATCGCCGGATCTTCTGTTTGTATATTGAATGGCACTGCCCGGATTCGATCCCAGTCCGGACACGTTCAGGCAGTCCGGCAGTCCGGTGCCCAACTGCCAAAGTTATGAGGTCAGGGCGTGAGCAGGATTAGGCGACGTGGCGTGCCCGTATAATATATAACTCTTTGGCATTAATTAGCAAAAACTTGGCAAGCCTTCATGCGACGCATACGTGATTTGCAGATGCAACCTGCAACACCGCAGCCACCAGGGCGACACAACTTTTCAGCATTTCGGCGTAAAGTGTCTCGCAAGTTTGTGATTGTCGCAATTTATCAAATAGTGCGTGCCCGGCCCGGGTTGCGTTGCATTTTCCCATTTCCCCGGGGCAGATCCCGCGCCTGCCAACAGCATGCAGGCATATCAACATTAATTAATTACATTAAGGGGCGCCTTAATGCGGCACAGAGCTTAAAAAAGTGAATAAATCGCTTCAAATTAAGTAGAACAGCAAACAGCTCCTTGCCGCGCCCGCGTTGCATATTTATTCGATGCGCATTGATAAAGGCTTAAACGAGGACCGCTAACAAACGACGGGGAAATCAACGCCAGGCGGCCGTGCTTAATCCATTACGCAATCGCCTGCCATTATCACATTTGTAATAT